CACAGACATACCCAGAGATAATCTTTTACAAGCTCTCTATATAATCCTTAGTATAGTTCACAACTAAACTTAACCATCACGAACTCCATCATTGCATCAGTCCTCACCTTGACCACAGCTCTGCAAGGTATTGTTGTTTTGTCCCTGTTACAGATGAGGGGCCAGCTCCATTATACTGGATAACCTAGTGCTGGTCACACAGCTGATAAAAGCTGGACCAGGTCTGGCATGAAGTCTGTTCACTCCTTTTCTACCATGAATCTTAATCCTGAGGATGACAAGGAAAAAGCACTTGTGAAAATATTGTCCTTCTCTTTCAAATACCAAAACAAGTGGATAACAGAAGGGGCTTAAACTCCTTTAAGAAAAAATGACAAGCAATTTGGCCCTTAGACAATGAAAAGAGGACTACGTTTCTCTACTCTGAAGCCTACGTTAATAGGGCTTTTATAACTGATTTACTGTAGACAGACAGAATGTGAGTATTATTGAGACTGTCATCTTCATGATTTCCATTCTTGAACCAAAGGGCAGCTACTGAATGCTAACGATCTGCCAGGCACTGTGGCACTCAGGAAGAATAATAAGTCATGCTCCCTGCCAGCCTAGAAATTCACTTTCCGATGCTGCCAGGTGCAGGCATGTAAATAAATAATTACAAAAGCACGCAATGAGTGCTCTAATGGACTTAGCTGCAGAAGAGTCTATGGAGCACTGAGCAAGAACTCAGCAGCTGCCTCAAATGTTATATTAGGAATGCTTTCAATGAGAGTCAGAAAACTCAATTTGCAGACTGGGGATGTAGCTTAGTGGTAGAGCATTTGGCTAGCATGCACAAGACCCTAAGTTCAATTCCTAGCACCTCCAGAAAAACAAACAAACAATTCTCGTATTTGTAGTAGCTTAAAATGAAATGGAGATTTTTGAATTTCTCACCTAGAAATTCTGGAAAGGCAGCTATAGACATTTTCATCGAAGAGCAATGTGTTGACCTTTCCTGCATGGTCACTGGGTGGCTATCATGATTCCAGTCATTATATCTCTGTTCATGACAGAAAGTTGGGTGAGGTGAGAGCAGAATGTTACCAGTGAACCTTTTTTTATTTTTCTTAATTAGGGAATCAAATGCTTCCCTCATATATAAGTTTTTGGGGAATCCTGGTACACATGGCCACCTCTAGCTGCAAGGAAGTCTGAGATATCAAAGACGAGGGTCATCATGATTGGCTTAAATCTTAAGTGGATCCTGATTCATTCACAATGGGCTGGGACACAACAACTACAAACAAAATAGGTGTTCTGTTAGGAATGAAGAATGGAGTGGGGAGGGTGACAAACTAGGAGGTACCCTTCTGCCATGAGTGTTCTCTTTACAGAAAATGTGTGTTTCGCTTAGCCTCAGTGGGCAAGCAAATAGTAGCACGATAGAGAAGAGAGAAAGATATTCTAGGGAAGAAGGGCAAGCATTTGCAAAGGCATTGAGTCATGAAAGACAAGGTCACAAAACACCAGAGATACCTTTTAATTGGACATCAAGCTAAAGTTGTAAGGAAGAGCTGGTTTGCAGCAGGATTTACTACCAGGCTAAGGAGTGGATCATATAGAATCCTGTCCTGAAACACTCCCATTATCCTTGCAACTTGGAAAAGCTGCAACCCTTGTTCTTATTCACCTGGTGCTTACACATGGGCTGATCTCTCAGCTCTTTTTGCACCATAAATTACTTTTATGAACCCTCTTGAGTTAGAAGACAGAGTTTTAGCTGGACTTTTTCCATAGCATTTCCATAGCACTGAGGTTTTAGTCTACCTTTGACATGCTTTCTTCTGCGCCCTTGATGGGTGATAAGAGTTTCTTATATCCCTTTTAATCACATTGATTCCTCTTGTCTTCTCAGATGATGTCTGAGTTTTCTGGACAGTAGTCAACTCTGTCCATTTTCTCTGTCTCACTATAGGCTGACTCCAAATCTGCACAAACCCTCAGCCTTTATAGACAACTCACATCCAATCAGATGTCACTCATGGGGCCCCTAATGCTTGGCAGTTTCTACAGGCCACCTGGCAGCCTCCTGCCTCCCTCTCTGTCAAATGCTGGACTGCGGGTTCCACCATGTATCTGGGAAATCCTGAATCACCTTGTGGCCTGTGTCTGTCCCAAATGAGGGTACATTTCTGATTCTCTGTCTTCTGCAAACCTCATGTTCATTTCATGATTACAGATACGAGAGAAATAAGAGGCACAGATTCCTAATTTCTGAGTCTGCGTGGGTTCAAATCTTGCTTCTCCTGCTTCTGACCATGTAACTTCTCTCATGTGAAATGTGACATATGAGGGTGTCACTTGTCTCATAGAGGGGGTAAAGATAAATGAGCTATAACAAGTGAAGTGTCCAGAGCAGTATTTGACATACAGTAAGCATCTAAAACGTGTGCACTGCTAATGATTTGAATTATTAGTGCAGCGTTAATGTGCCTCAGAAAGTGAATTAAGTAATGGTAGGTTTTTATCACAGACCTGGCAGATCACACCTGCGCCGCACACAAAATCTGTTTGGGAGCATTCTCCAGTTTCACTCTCAGGTGTGAAAGCTTGTCACCAAATGCCTTCTACACCACCAACTTACTGCACCCACACCAGCAATGATGGGTGACTCTGTCCCTCAGGGGATGAGAAAATGACATTTCTCACTAGTCAGACACCAATGATCAAAAACATCAGCCACAGGAAACCCGAGTTGGCTTCTCAGAGTCAGGAATGCGGATTTGGTTCTGTAAGCAGTGATCCAGGAGATTGGAGCTGGCTTCTACCTACACCTCAGCTGTGTGACTCTAGGAAAGTCAGTGTACCCTCTTTACCTTGGGAGTCTTAAAGTCTTATGTTCATCTCTGCATTCTCTCAGGCACACAGTCATGCATGGTAGTACACACCTATAATCCCCACTATTCAGAAGGCAGAGACAGGAGGATCATGACCCCGGGCCCACCAAGCAAAAGCATGAGAGCATATCTGAAAAACAAGCTAAACAAGCAAAACAACGGATATCTTACCTTTCCAACCTGTGCTGCCAAGGCCACGTTTCTCAGCTGGAAATTACAACTGGTTCTTAACGGGCATCCCTGGCTCTGGTTTTGCCCTGTCTACTCAGCCACATACATATCTTCTCCCTTGCACTCAGAGTGATTCTTAAAAGCCAAAGTCAATAGATTTTCCCTTCCTTAGCAATCTCTAGTGACTACAACCTGAGTTCCAAATGTGGGCCTCCCGGGTCCTGGCTGCCAGCCTAGCTCAGTGCTCTGCCACCTGCCCCTCTTACCCCCACCCATGTCTCCAGCTCCACTACAGACCTCCCCATAAGTCTCCCTCCTCCATTTTCCTAGGAGTCCCATGCCCATCTTTTGAGCCCATCTCTTGCCTTGCTTCTCTGCCGGAGACATCAGGCCCAGGTCATGTGCCTCTGGCCATCTCCCAACCTGGTACACCATAGGCACTCAATAGACCTGGCATTTAGTAAGCCCTCACCCTAGCCAGACTCTGCACATATTAACTTACTTTTTACAGCAGCTCTATGAGACAGTGTCACTCAGAGCCTGGGCTGGAGGCAGAGTTCATGCCAACTATTTGAACAGAAAATTTCACCTTTAGAAATTGTAACTAGGCATAAGTGTTCACCTGGTCCCTAAGTGAAGCCAGAATAGGAAACTGTAAAAAACAATTATTGCCCTTTGAGGTGGAGAAGCAGAGGGAAAAGGGGGAAGATTCAAACTTGCACCTCTTTGGTGGTCAGAGGCAGCAGCTCTGGGCAGAGAAGGGAGGACAATGAAGCATGGTCTGAGTGCTGCTAAACGAAGTGCCACTGCTAGGAGGAGATGGTCCAGGTGATGCTCTGGGAGCAGAAGCCATAGGAGCCATGTTTGCCACTCTGCAGGCCCTCGGGTTCCCTCTCATGACCCTTTTGGCAGCACCAAGTAGATTTTGGGCCTGCAGGCTCAAGGCCTCTGCATCACAAATCAGATGTGGAGGCAAGAGATGATAACTTAGTAACTGGCACAGGCAGAAGCTGTGAGTGTGCCTGTTTCTCGGATGAGGGAACTGAGCAATTAAGTAAGTTGCCCAATATTAAATGACTACCTAGAACAGAGGCAGAACCTGAACCCAGGCACCAGGCTGCAGAGCCCTTATTATTAAGCACTCTGCCGTAAAGGTGGGATGAATGGAGGATGGATGGAAGGATGGATGGATGGATGGATGGGTGGATGGGTGGATGGATGGATGGAGTGGATGGATGGATGGATGGGTGGATGGATGGATGGATGGGTGGGTGGTGGGGGATGGATGGATGGATGGGTGGATGGATAGATGGATGGGTGGGTGGATGGATGGATGGATGGATGGATGGATGGGTGGATGGATGGATGGATGGATGGGTGGATGGATGGATGGGTGGATGGATAGATGGATGGGTGGGTGGATGGATGGATGGATGGATGGATGGATTGACGGATGATGGATGGATGATTGATGGATGGATGGATGGATGAGTGAATGGGTGGATGGATGGATGGGTGGATGGATGGATGGATGGATGAGTGAATGGGTGGATGGATGGATGGATGGATGAGTGAATGGGTGGATGGATGGATGGATGGATGGATGGATGGATGGATGAGTGGATGGGTGGATGGATAGATGGATGGATGGATGGGTGGATGGATAGATGGATGGATGGATGGGTGGGTGGGTGGATGGATGGATGGATGGGTGGGTGGATGGATGGATGAGTGGATGGGTGGATGGATAGATGGATGGATGGATGGGTGGATGGATAGATGGATGGATGGATGGGTGGGTGGGTGGATGGATGGGTGGATGGATGGGTGGATCAGTGGAAGGATGATAAATGGATTGTAGATCCACAAATCACACCAGCCTGGTGTCAGGCCTCCGCTTCCTGCAGTGCCTGGTCCTACCTGCCTGACCACCTCCTCATCACCCCCCAGGTCATCCACTGGAACTCCCCGAAGAAGCTGCGGGTAAAGAACAAGCATGTGGAGTTCTTCCGAAACCTCTACCTGACCTTCCTGGAGTACGACGGCAACCTCCTGAGGCGGGAGCTGTTCGGCTGCCCCAGTGAAGCCGACGTCAACAGCGAGAATGTAAGTGACTAGTAGATGCAGTGGGAGAAACGGTGATCCCACTAGCCTCATGGGAACCCTGCGTGCCTGTCTCTGCATCTGGCTCTGGGAGGGTCTGAGATGAACAAGATGCTTCACCTGCCCAGGATGCACTGCCCCATGACAGATCATGTCCCCAGCCTTCACTGTGATTATGGAAGGAGGGACACTCAGCCAAATTGGGTGAGTCTGAGTGAGTTTCGGGCAGTGGAAGCAGAATGAACAAAACCACCTGGAAAAGAGAAGATACAGTCTGTCGTGTGCCCAGGACATCCCAAGTCTTTGTAGAGGTGGCATCCACGCTGGGTCCCCAGGGTTCAGGCCTCTCAGTGCTTGGGGTGGCACAGAAGGAGATGCCAAGTGACTGCCTCTTCAGAGTCAGCATGGATGAGGAGAGTGTAAGATAAGTTGTCACAGACATAGCTAACATCTGCTCGGTTTTCCTGCTTTTTCATATGTTTATATGTATCTCATTTGATGCTCATAGAAGCCCTCTTTTACAGTTGAAGGAATAGAAGCATAGAAAGGTCAAGCATGTTGTCTGTGATCACACAGCAATCAGGGACATAGGCTGAGATGGATGCTAAGCTCCACAGAGAGAGGAAGCAGCACTGTAGCAGCAGGCAGCAGGGCACATGGAATCTGGCTGGCCTGGGTTTGACTGATTCCTTCCACTTACTATCTGTGTGACTTCATACGAGTTATTCTACCTCTTTTTGTCTCAGTTCTCTCAACTGTCAAATAGGGATTAAAAAGTTCTATAGGGATGTTTTAAGAATCAGTGAGACATTGTATCTAGAACACCTGGCTCAGTGTCTGCCATATTTTAGATCTAGGTAAGTACTTGCTCCCTCCTCTTTCCTTCACCCTGGGTATCAGACACAAGAACAATTCGCTCATCCTTTCAGTCCACAAGCATTTATGGAAGACCTTCTATTTCTTCTGAGCACTGAGTATTCAGAGGTGAAAAAGCATCTGGTTAAAAATTTGAAGGTAAAAAAGAACCATTGTCCTTAGTTATAAAAACCTCTCATGGTATTGATAGCCTAGTAGGAGAGACACAATTAACTAATAACTAAACAAAGTATCATGAAAAATTATCAGCTAGTGGAAGATGCTACATAGCAATAGTTAGTGAGAAGCTGGGCAGCTCCATTGGTTGAGGGGTCAGGGAGGGTTTCTATGAGGAGGTGACATGAACCCCAAAACCTGAGCAATAAGAAAGCCAGCTGGTGGAATTCCTAGCCAGAGCAAAAAGACAGGAGAAAGAAATACAAGAGATTCAAATAGGTAAGGAAGAAGTCAAATTGTCCGTATTTGCAGATGATATGATCCTATACCTGAAAGACCCTAAAAACTCAACCAAAAAACTCTTAGAGCTCATAACACTTTCAGCAAAGTAATAGGATACAAAATCGATACGCAAAAATCAATAGCATTTCTATATACAAACAATGAACAGTCTGAGAAAGAAATCAGGAAAACAATACCATTCACAACAGCTTCAAAAAATTAAAATACCTAGAAATAAATTTAACGAAGGAGGTGACCAACTTATACAATGAAAACTACAAGTCAATAAAGAAAAGAAATCAATGAAGACATCAGAAGATGGAAGGGCATTCCATGCTCATGGATCAGCAGAATTAATATTGTGAAAACATCTGCACTACTGAAAGCAATCTATATGTTCAATGCAGTCTCTTTCAAAATTCCAATGACATTCTTCACCGAGACAGAAAAGTCAATCTTAAAGTTCACATAGATGCACAAAAGACCTCAAATAACCAAAGCAATCCTGAGCCAACAGAGCAACACTGGAGGAATCAACAATACCTGACTTCAAACTATAGTAATAAAAACAGCATGGTACAGACCTAAAGACCAATGGAATAGAATAGAAGACCCTGACACAAACCCACACAACTACAAGCATCTGATTTTTGACAAAGGTTCCCCAAATATGTGCTGGAGAAAACAAAGCCTGTTCACTGTGACACAGGTTACTCCAGAGGCACCTGCACACCCATGTTTATTGCAGCACTATTCACAATAGCCAAGTTATGGAAACAGCCAAGATGCCCCAGCACTGACGAATGGATTAAGAAAATGTGGTATCTATACACCATGGAATTTTATGCAGCCATGAAGAAGAACGAAATGTTATCATTCGCTGGTAAATGGATGGAATTGGAGAACATCATTCTGAGTGAGGTTAGCCTGGCCCAAAAGACCAAAAATCGTATGTTCTCCCTCATATGTGGACATTAGATCAAGGGTAAACACAACAAGGGGATTGGACTATAAGCACATTATAAAAGCAAGAGCACACAAGGGAGGTGTGAGGATAGGTAAGACACCTAAAAAATTAGCTAGCATTTGTTGCCCTCAACGCAGAGAAACTAAAGCAGATACCTTAAAAGCAACTGAGGCCAATAGGAGAAGGGGACCAGGAACTAGAAAAAAGGTTAGATCAAAAAGAATTAACCTGGAAGGTAACACACACGCACAGGAAATTAATGTGAGTCAACTCCCTGTATAGCTATCCTTATCTCAACCAGCAAAAACCCTTGTTCCTTCCTATTATTGCTTATATTCTCTCTACAACAAAATTAGAAATAAAGGCAAAATAGTTTCTGCTGGGTATTGAGGGGGTGGGGGGGAGAGGGAGGGGGCGGAGTGGGTGGTAAGGGAGGGGGTGGGGGCATGGGGGAGAAATGACCCAAGCCTTGTATGCGCATATGAATAATAATAATAAAAAAAAGCCTGTTCAACAAATGTTACTGGGAAAACTGGATATCCACCTACAGAAGACTGAAACTAGATTCCAGTCTTTCACCTTATACAAGCATCAATTCAAAATGGATTAAAGATACTAATGTAAGATCTGAAACAGTGAAATTAATCCAGGAAAAATTGAGAACACATTGAACCACATAGGCAAAGGTAATCCCTTTAGGAATGAAATTCCAGTAGCTCAGCAATTAAAAGGAAGTATTAACAAATGGGACTGCATGAAACTAAAAAGGTACTGCACAGCAAAGAAAACAGTTACTAGAATGAAAAAGCCTACAGAATGAGAGAAAAATCTTTGCCAGCTATACATCAGACAAGGGATTAGTAACCAAAATATACAGGGAACTCAAAAAATCAACCTCTGAATAAACGGGCAAGTGAACTGAACACACAGTTCTCAAAAGAAGAAGTACAAATGGCCATAAACATGAAGAAATGCTCATCATCCTTGGCCATAAAGGGAATGCAAATCAAAACCACATTAAGATTCCACCTCACCCCAGTCAGAATGGCGACCATGGAGAACACAAACAATGTGGGGAAAAGAAAACTTCTACACTGTTGGTGGGAATGTAAATTAGTGCAACCAGTATGGAAAGCAATATGGAATTCCCTCAAAAAACTGGAAATAGAAATACCATATGATCCAGCAATTGCATTCCTGGGCATATATCCAAAGGAATGTGCCCCAGGTAACAACAAAGCTTGCACACCCATGTTTATTGTACAACTATTCACAACCACCAAGCTCTGGAAACAGCCCAGATGCCCCACAACTGATGAATGGATTAAGAAAATGTGATCTATATATATACAATGGAGTTTTATTCAGCCATAAAGAAGAATGAAATTATGTTGTTGTCTGGTAAATGGATGGAACTAGAGAACTTCATGTTAAGTGAAGTGAGTCAGGCTCAAAAAATCAAAGGTTGCATGTTTTCTCTCATATGTGGAAGCTAGATAGGAGACAAGACAGATAAAGAAAATGGTAGAGAATAAAAAGTATTGAAACAACCCATCTATATATGAACATAATATAATGTACTGTACAGTAAGCTGTTGAATATTAGGGGAGCATCGTGATAAAGAGTAAATAATGGGAGGGGTTAATTTGATTAAACCATGATATATACAGAGCTGAAATACCAAAGCAAAACCCCCTTGGACCAAAAAAATGAAGGGCAGGAGGGAAAAATAAATCTTATGTGGGGGTGGATACCAGTGGGAGGGTGTGGGCACAAGGAAAGGTGGAATGAAGGTGTAGATGGTAGATGTGTTTTGTACATGAAAATAATGAAACCTGTTGAAATTGTTCTAAGAAGTGGGGAGGGGGAAGAATGAGAATGACGGAGAAGGTAAATCCAACTAGATATGTTGTAAGCACATATGTAAATATCACGATGTACTACTATTATATGCTAATAAATTCATTAAAAAAAAAAAAGCGAGCCAGAGTACAACAAGGGAAGTACATTCTGGGTGGAGAAAGTAGCAAGTGCAAAGTCCCTGAGGCACTACAACTTGTGAGGAACAGCAGAATGGAACAGCCACTGTGCCCAAGGGCTGATTGGGAAGCTGAGGATCAAGTAGACAGGAACCAAATTGGAAGGATTTGTAAACTAGGTTAAAGAACTATGCATTGTAAGCTGTGTTATAAGATATCAGAATTTGGATTTTCTACTGTGATAGGCATTGTTTGTGTCATTATTTTGGATTCCATAAGAAATCTTTCAGACTCCCAGTGGCAGGACAGGCTGGCTGTAGAAGATGTGGAGGTGTGCCCTCACCAGGTCTTTTATAGGAGGAAGACTGTGCTTGCAATATGACCCTGCTCTCTGAGTCACAGTGAAGTGGCTTGCAGCTTTGGGCTTTTCCCCGTCACTCTGGATGCCTTCTCTGTGTCTGCCTTCGCACCTGGCAATGGGAAGAAAGTCATTAGCACTTGAACCCTCCCGGGTTCTGGGTAGCTCTTAGAGGTTTCCACAGTGCCACGTTCCCTTGGATCCTCCTCAGTTTGCTTTCCTCACACCAGTGTCTGTCCTCATCATCGGTTTCGAGTGTTCACTCAGCACTTTTGTCCAAACACTCAATGAAAACTATTCTCTCAGCTTATTTACCCTCCTGGAGGAGGCTGAATAAAAAGTCTTATGGAAAATGTTAATCATTCATGTCACTGGGTCCCCATGCTGTGCTGCTTGGTGTGACAAGAAGTGGGAACTCCCTCTACAAGAGGCTCACCAGCCATCTCCTTCCCCTGTTGGATCATCAGGGTGAATAAGTCACTCTGGGTCTCCCTCAAAACCAGATTGTTTTTTATTTGCTCCATAATTGTGCATGAATGCTGACATCTGCCAGGCACCTTGTGGGAGCTGGGGTTGACATTAGACACTGACCCAGTCCCTACACATAAACTGCTATTGAACTGCAGAGAGGAAAGCGCTCCAGGTCTGGGGAGGGGGAGGGCCGTGAGTATCAACATGACCATCTCTGAGCACTCACCATAGCTGTCATCCCAGCCTCTCCCCCTGACCACACCCAGCTTCCTCCATCCCAATCTCCCTTTGTACCTACAATTCCTACAGCCCAGACCACCCTGAGCCCAGTGTTTAAATATCTCAGATGTGACCTCAACAGAAACTTCACCTGGCTTCTGATCCTCACCCAAAGTAACCCTCATAGCAAGCAAATGTAAGAGAGAAGGAAATCCCAGGTACAGGGAAGTGAAAAGCCAAGACAGAATGTGCTGGTGGCTTATGGCCTAGAGCACAGGCATGGTGGAAGCCAAGTCAAGAACAAAGCTGACCAGAGGGCCTGGACTGTATTAAGAATTTAGGGTTTATCCTGTTGGCAGTGAGGAACCCCCAAGGAGTTTTAAGCATGATCAGATTTACATTTTCAGAAAAATCAGGGCAGAGAACAGAAAGGAAGGGATAAGACTGGAGCAGGGAATATGCTTAGAGGCTATTGTTCCAGCTCAGGCAAAAAGATGGCAATGTGGCTCTGACTTTGGGCGGCAGCAGCAGCAGCAGCAGCAGGAATGGAGAGCACAGAGGGACTGTCTTGTGGGTTGTAAGGACAGGGAAGTAGGTACAACTACTGCTCATAAATCAAGATGGCAAGTCCCCATGCCCTGCTCCAGCCAGGTGCTTCTGCTGGCTACATAGATAGTATGAGGAAATAGGTAAGGAAAGGCTGTGGACATGGCCTTCCTGGAACCCCATCACCTGGTCCTCTGCAGCATGTCAAGAGATGTGCGAACACAAACAGAGGGAGAGGGTGAG